CCCCCCCCCCCCCCCCCCCCTGGGCCAACATGGCCTCAGAATGTTGGGCTCACTTGCGAAATTGAACCTTCTATAGGTTAAGATGATATCCTGACAGTTTCATGCTTTCTTCCAGAAATGCACGATTCTGGGAACTTCTTCCCCTAATGCGCCCTACTAAATCCATTGGAGGGGGAAACAGTTTTGGGTTTTTTTTTCTTTTTTCTTTGTTCAATTTTACTATTAGTCCTTTTTTCAACAATTCATTGTTCGATATAGGTTCTTTTGTACCCCTCTCAGAGGGCTCCAAAAATATTGACCTTCTGTAAATGTTCCCCTTTTGAAATGATTAAACATGCCTATGACAGTTTTCCAAGATTTGAACTCGTGCCGGAGACATGGAGGTGGCTCGTTCTGAAAAAGTATCCTGCTTAGACCAAGCTGAGGCGAGATTAAAAATCATTTTTTTAAAGTAGTAGAAAACTGTCATTGATTTAATGATTCGGGCGTTTCAAGTTTTCTTAGAAATGTCCTGTAACAAGATTGGAATTGCTTTAAAGGGATCATGGCACTTTCAAATTGATTTTCAATTTTTTTTTTTAATGAGGTAATGTACTGGAATGGGGTTGTTTCCAGGTGTAAGATAGAGCCGGTTTTGGCATTTTTCATAAATTTCACATGGGAATCAATACTTAAAACGGATGTATATTACACCTGGAAACAACCCCATTATTCTTGCAAATATTTAGGAGTTTTGACACCTCTTTTTTCCAATTTTTTTTGTATGCTAGCGCTATAAAGATTGGTGTTGATTCAACACCCCCCCCCCTTCTCTTGGTCCCTAATTGCGTTACATTGTTGAAGCTTGCTCCCTTGGCATAGCTGTACCATATTCTATCTTCCATGGTGTGATATAAATTTTTTCTTGATTTTTTCAGAAGCGGAAAAAAGGAAAGTACTGGCTCTGGTTCTTCTACCACTACTATTTAGTGCTCCTGGCAATGTAAACCGAAATAAACGTGGCATTGTTCCTTGGAAACCTTCAAAGCAAGATTGCGTCAATGGTTTCATTTTTAGAAGTCCTGATTCCTGCTCATATGAAGACCGGCTATTGGAGAAAAAGAATTTTTTGGCTACAAGGAAAATAGCATTTCAGCCAATTACTGTTGCAGTTGGCACATTGGACAATTTTTCCCAGAGTTTGGTGGTAATTGATGACATTAAGTATTCATTCAAGTCAGTTTTAGAGGCTTTTGTCTTTTGCTTTAAAAGCTATTTTGCGTTAAACGCCCAGTACCCTGTCGAATGTGGTTCTAGTTATTCTTTTATTCAACAGCATGTGTTTAAGATAGATATAAAATCTAATAGTAAATCTTATAGGGCAGTAAATGATTTAATCAACAGCTTAAATTGCATTTCCGCCTCCGACTCTAGTTCAAGTTAACTTAATTTTTATTGTAATTTTATCATTAGGTATTTTGTATTTTTTTTTGCTCTAGACCATGCCTTCTTGTTACGTATGTAAGCAATTTTTTAACGTTAAAGCGCTGAAAACACATTTAAAGTTAATTCATGGTAAACAGCCTCTCACAGATAGTGTAAAGTGTAATGAGTGCAAGCAGCCATTTTCATGCATGAAATATTTGTTTAATCATTTCCCCCGTTGCTGTAGAAGAAGTGTATCTGGTGTTGAAGATTTTGCACACGCAGGCTTCTCCAATTCGTTAAATGAACCTTCCTCTAATGACATTATCGATGATCATGGTGTCCTAAGTAATGAACCTTTGGATGATGTGGAGATGTCCGACTTATCTGAAGCCTCGATTAATCCCCTATCTCAGATGAGTGAAGAAGCTGCTTTGTTCTTGGCTAAATTGTACTCTAGTGTGTCTATACCGCGGAACTTCATCCAAATAGTTGTCGATGAAGCTTCTAGCTTGTTTGATTCAACGGCACAAATAATGAAAGATAAACTCGAAATTTTACTGCCGGGGGTATCTGATAATATAGAAGTTCAAAATCTGTTAGAGAAATTGGGCAATCCTTTTAGTGCCTTAGGGACAGAGTATAAGAGGTTAAAACATTTTGAAAAGCAAGGGACTTATATTCCACCATTTGAATTTAACATAGCTGGTCAACGAACAGATCAAAAGTATGTGAAGGGAGAAGCTCTAAGAGTACCTGTGCCTGTCACGGGTCAGTTCATATCTCCCAAACGTATTTTGGAGAGACTCTTAGGTGAATCCACTTTCCTTAATGAGGTCCTGGAGTACAATAACAAACTTATCAACTCAGATCACTCTCTTCTTTCTAACTTCATTCAAGGCAGGTATTGGCGAGAAAAATTGCTTAGGCACCCAGGAAAAACCATCCTCCCGATTTTCATCTTTGTAGACGAGTTTGAAGTGACTAACCCTATCGGACCAAGTAAAACGGTCCATAAATTGGGAGGCGCTTACATGACAATGCCTTGCATCCCCCCTCACTTACGGTCAAAACTTAAGTACGTATTTGTTGTTTTACTATTCCATAGTGCAGATCGTAAGACTTTCGGCAATGAAGCAGTGTTTCGACTTTTAATAAAGGAGCTAAATGAACTAGCCACAGAAGGTATAGAATTTAAGATCAACTCATTCTCAAGAACAATTTTTTTTCATCTTGCCTTACTTCAGGGTGACAACCTTGGTCTTCACCAGTTGATTGACTTTGCCGAAGGTTTTACGGCTAATTTTCCCTGCAGAATTTGTAACATACATAGGAACAACTTGCACTCTGATTTAGAGGAAAATCCAGGCCTACTGCGAACTGTTGAGTCTTACGAGAGAGATCTGGTAACAAACGATCTTTCACAAACTGGAGTAAGATCCAATTCTATTTGGAACAAGGTATATGATTTTCATGTAACCACGTCGGTTGCTGTTGACAGCTTTCATGATTTGCTCGAAGGCATTTGCCACTATGATATGACTCTAATTCTCACAAATTTCATTTTTGAGGAAAAGTATTTTGATATGGACAAGTTTAATTTGCGCTTAGAAAGTTTTGATTTTGGGTTAATAGATAAGCGAAGTAGACCTCCCTTGCAGTCTAAATCAGATGTTGAAAAAGGTAAATTGAGTATGTCTGCGCATCAAATGTTAATCTTTTGTAAGTATTTTGGTATTATGTTTTGTGACTGTGAAATTCCAGAAGATGATCCTTTTTGGCTCTTGTATTTAAGTCTACGAAGCATCTTAGACATTGTTTTGTCTAAAAATGTCCAGGAAGAGTGCGAAATTCAACTGAAAGTGTATATTAGAGATCACCATAAATTATATTTGCAGTGTTCAAAAGCTAATTTAAAAAACAAGTTTCATCACTTAGTACACTATCCTAGGTATCTGAAGTTATTTGCCAGCTTTCTTGATATGTGGGTGATGAGACTAGAAGCTAAACATATGACATCTAAGTTAATTGCATATTCGGTCACCACCAGAAGAAATATATGTCTCACCCTTGCGATTAGGCTAATGTTATTGCTTAATTGGTTCTTCATTTCCAGAACGTCCGACACGCATGGCATTCTGACTGGACCTGGAAGTTTAATTTCAGTTTCGGCCTTAGATAATTATGAGTGTGTAAAAAAATATGTTCCTGTAGAATTTAAGGAATTGTACAAGTGTTCTTGGGCAAATGTTGACTCTGTAGAATACAAGCCCAAAATGATAGTAATTTATGAATACCAGGATTTTTCTCCAGTTTTTGCCATGATTGAACAGGTTTTAGTTCATAATTACTCCTCACTTCACTTTAACTGTCGTAAAATAAGAACCTTATATCTTGACAACGATTGTGCCGGATACTGTGTAGACGTCCTTTCAGATGATTTTATTTTTATTAACCAAGAGAAACTTGTTTATGAGCAACCCTTGTGTTTGTCACGTACCTATGATAACAGACAAATGATTACATTCATGGGTTTGTAGATAGAATCTCCCTTTTGTAGAAGGTTTGTTTATTGTAAAGCTCATTGAGTTTATCAGGAAGGAAGCAACTGGCAAGAATTTGAAACTTGGAAAAAGAGGTTTTAACTTTTATTTTTCCAAGTGACTCCATGTAAAAAATTCATTTTGACCCCTTTTTTCACAAACTAGATTCTTTTTAAGGCCGAAGAATTTTTGGTACAAGAAAATGTTCAGTTTGTTGAGCTCCAAACCTTTCACAACTCAATTTTTCGCAATATTTAGGTTAGTTCCTTTCTGATAAACTCTGTTCAATTTATGCTCATTCATTAAAAGAAAAAGAGAAAAAATTTAAACTTACGCAATGTATGTAGAATTTCCTTTGTTTGAAAGGCTTGTTTTACTGTAAAGCCAAATAACCAAACATCATCTGTTCCGGTGTGCGATTGTGATATTAAATTTAATTGTTTCAATAATCATTTGGTTCACTGTGTAAATATGATCTGATAGCCTCTGAACATTCAAACCCATTTGAATGTTATGAATTTAGTATTGTAACTTATGCCCCTCGTTCCAAAAAATTATAAATTACGCAATGTATATAGAATTTCCTTTGTTTGGAAATATTTCTTACGTTTAAAGACCAAAAGCCAAATAATATCTGTTCAGGGGCTAATGCTCACCCATTCAAAGGGAAAAAATTGAAACCAAAGCAATGCCTTAGAATTTCCTTTATTAGGAAGGTTTGTTTCACTTTCAAGCCTGCGAAACATCAAAAATTGTTTACTCAGGTGTATAACTGTGGTAGTTAATTTAATTGCTTTAATAAATACTCGGTTTGTTGTATAAAAATGTTTTTTACTTTCCTCAGAGAATTCAAATAAATATAATGTTAACAACTTGCTGTTGCACAGTTTCATAAGTAAGATTTTTTCATTAAATTGACCAGGAAATCGTTCAGCTTTTTTAATTCCTGTTTCAAAAAAATAAATAAATAAAGCTCTTAAAGTTTAACTGTATCTGATTGAATGAAATAAGAGCTTCTCTCGTACACAGACAAAATGAAAGTGCTATAAAACACTGGTTTTTGTGGCCTCAAGTGTAATAGTGTACTTATTTTGGCGCCCGTTTTCTTTCAAGCCAGTTTTAGATTCACGTTTTCCTGTTAAGAAAATAAAAAAAATAAATGAAGTCCCAAGTAATAAGTGCAGTCTGGGTAATTCATACGCAGTTCAACACAAATAATTGAGCGCTCAGTTTCATATTTTTCTTTGCAAAAAAAAAAAAAAAAAAAAAAAAAAAAAAA